AATACCTTTCTTAAATGTTTGTGTATTCTAGACAGGGCAATAAGGTCTACTGTGTACGTAAATTGTTGCTGTGATTGTTATTTGACATTTGCCTCGTTAATATAAATTTCTGTAACCTATGGTGCCATTTTCAATGGGTTTGAAATGAATTCTGTCCGTATTCCATAGTCGTGGATTTCAAGCTGTACGATAGACATGGCCAATGAGACACCTTTTTTTTGGGGTGCCGAGTTGACCATGTATCTTAGTGCACTTGTATTCATGGCGAGGCGCAGACGCCGTCTGGAGGTGACAGGTTCAATTCCCGGCACGGTAACTATAGCTTTCGATTTTTATGTTGTCTAGTGTGTTCTTCTATCTTTCTACTTCTTTCTATGAGTGCCGTTCACAATACTTTCTGTTACTTGATTAATTCATAATATTTAACGGCTTCAAATGGTTCCCCCCTCTGTTTATTTATAGGAAATGACGTATACACACCGGAACCTACCAATCAAATACCTTTCTTAAATGTTTGTGTATTCTAGACAGGGCAATAAGGTCTACTGTGTACGTAAATTGTTGCTGTGATTGTTATTTGACATTTGCCTCGTTAATATAAATTTCTGTAACCTATGGTGCCATTTCAATGGGTTGAAATGAATTCTGTCCGTATTCCATAGTCGTGGATTTCAAGCTGTACGATAGACATGGCCAATGAGACACCTTTTTTTGGGGGTGCCGAGTTGACCATGTATCTTAGTGCACTTGTATTCATGGCGAGGCGCAGACGCCGTCTGGAGGTGACAGGTTCAATTCCCGGCACGGTAACTATAGCTTTCGATTTTTATGTTGTCTAGTGTGTTCTTCTATCTTTCTACTTCTTTCTATGAGTGCCGTTCACAATACTTTCTGTTATTTGATTAATTCATAACAGACTAAAAGCATGTTGAGAATAGTGAAGACAAGGATGCTTCGAGTAGGGTAGTAAGCTTCACTGGAAAGGTCACGGGTAGTGAGCATAATTTGGATCTTTTCTTCAGGTCATACCGGCGTGGTAGGTAATGAACAAGCAGACAGATCGGTTGGATCTGCACCACTGGGTGGTAATTGATACACGAAAAGGCAGACGTGGTCAAGGCCCTTTGGGAACAAGCAACGGAATCAGTAGATAAAAAGATTATGGCCTGGAGAGAATGAGGCGCTTTGGTGTAACCAGGGGGTCTGCCGGCTCACTACACACAGAGGAAAGGCAAGATGGACATGTAACCAGATTGTATTGGAACTTTGCGCTGGCTACTGAGGATGAGAACGGAGCATGCAAGGGAATGCCCCTAGTGCTGTGATGTCAATTCTTGACTCAACTCAGCTCAACCCAAAAGTAGCAGTAGTGGTGGTAATGTTGGTGCTAGTAAACAAGTAGCAGTAATAATCTCTTCCTCCTTCTTAAACACAGTGTGATTGACATATGTCTGTCTGTGGAAAAGCTGCGACTTCTAGCCGACATATCCGATTCATTCTGGCATGTTCTGGCACCAGGCTGGCTGGCTTGACCTGCAACATTTATGCACCGATATAGTCTCTTTCTAGGGCCATCATTTGGAGGTGAAGTGGGGCGTGGTTAGTTCTGATTCACCAGCCCTGACAGTTAACCAAGCACTAATTGCTTAAATGATTTCATCTGATCAGTATACTACTACTACTACTACGACTACTACTACTACTACTACTACTACTACTACTACTACTACTACTACTACTACTACTACTACTACTACTACTACTACTACTACTACTACTGCTGCTGCAGCAGCTGCTTCTTCTTTATATTTCTTCTTCTTCGTCTTTTTCTTCTCCCCCCCCCCCTTTTTTTTTTCTTCTTTTTCTTCTTCTACTTCTTCTTCTTCTTCTTCCTCCTCCTCCTCCTCCTTCTTCTTCTTCTTCTTCTTCTTCTTCTTCTTCTTCTTCTTCTTCTTCTTCTTCTTCTTCTTCTTCTTCTTATTATTATTATTATTATTATTATTATTATTATTATTATTATTATTATTATTTGGTCTTTGCGATGGTTTCGACAGTGGTATCCAAAAGCCGACTGTACAGAAAGCAATGGCAGACAACTGAACGTAAATATGTCTAGAAGAACCACAACGGTGGAAAAAATGCTGGGGTTGGTTCTGCAATTTCATTTAAATGATACGCAACTAACTTTAATACAGAAAACATTGATGAACGAATAAGTGCAGTAAAACAGACAGTACGGTAATGACAGGCCGGCTACTCGGTACAGTAAACATTCATATATCTAGACCACCCGTACTGAAGGAACGTGCCGTATTATTTGGGAGGTTTGTTTGTTCCGCTGGTTCTTTCTTTGAATATCACGGGCAAGGAATTCCTGTAGCAAGCACACAATAGAATCAGTACCCGCACACTCATCGGCGGGTTACATCCAATTATAAATAAGCTGACAAATGTCTTAGCTATTATCCATATCTTTTCCTGTTTTAAACTCTCATAACCAAGGCTGTAAGCAAAAAGAGAAAACAATATTTGCAGCCGTTGACGTGGGGATGGAAGCCATGTATAAGTAAAGAGCCCTGTCCACCCACTGACGTGGGGACGTAAGGGATGGTAGACATGTAAGGGCATGGTGTATTTAATATAGGAGGGGCCTCAAAGCTTTATTTAGCTTAGGGCTTCATCAAGTCTAAATCCTGCCCTGCCTGGCACCCATTTAAGGCTGGGTCAACCTGGAAGCCACAGTTATTTTCCTTGTACAAGTGCTTAATAACAATATTATTGTGCAGACTGGCAATTGAAATATTAAATTTCAAAGAGTATGCAGACACACGCATACACACACAGGCGCACGCACACACGCATATATACTTCTAAAGAGGGTTTTTATACATGGTTGAGGTGAGGTAGTAGCTTAACTTTCTACATTGTTAGCAAAGGGGCGGGTCAGGTAACTCTGGGTGCCAACTTTGTCAAGTCCCGGTACTCTTGCGCATAGCTTGTTTCAGGCAGCCATGTGACCGATATCAGAATTTAGAGACGAAATATTCCTAATAGGGCAGAAAAGTCCCAGGACCACATAACAGGGGACCCGGACAGTCAACACAAAGGACTACCCCCGCCCCTACCCCCCCCCCTTTCTGGACCAGAACCAGTACAAACGAGGCAAATCCAACAAGAGAAGTCGGCAAAACGGAACCAAAGTGGGATCCAGACATACAGGGATGGACAATACACTTAGATATGGACACTAAGCCAATAACTCTGGCACAAATAGCAGCCAATATATTTGGCACAAACAAATCAGATTACAAATATAACCGAACTCTGCTCACAGCAAAGAAGATTTAGGAAGAAAGAAAATGCGAATATGAGTAAAGAAATAACATCAGATCGAAGACAAAGTATTACAGCATATTATTACTATTATTATTACTATTATTATTATTATTATTATTATTTCTGAAACAAGGGTGTCGGTACTCACTACAGAGTGTGTTTAGAAAAGGTGCAGGTACTCACTGTAAAGTGTCTATTACATCAACACTGAAAAAAAAGTGACACTTCAACATGTTGTCGGTAGTTCGTACTGTTGCATACAGCCACTGAAAAGGCTGGGAGAGGGGGGGGGGGAGCGCTGATAATACCCCATTCTTTACTCTTTTCCTTGCTCACAAGACACAGCAGTATGTATCCACAGTTGGTTACCGTTGCCAGCTTTGATTTAACCAAACATTAAAAAAAGCTACAGGTGAGAAGAAGCGGGCAGGACAGTTAAAACAAACTGTAATAAAATTGAGGCTCAGAAGGTTAGGCGTTCAAACGAAGCAGACATCCATTTTTTAGGCGGAAGTCATTATAACCTGTCAGAAAACGGAAACGGAAGTGATCTCGCTTTATCTTTCTTCAGCTTACGGTCCGACGTTTGATGGCCGTAATGAATAAACAAAAACGTTGAGCGGATGAAATTATAGGTGATTTATTTGTGAGGTGCGAACGGTCTAGGAGATAGAATCGGGGAAGGAGATATATATAATATATACACACACACACACACACACACACACACACACTTACAGAGATATGATAGTGCAATCATTTGCCTTCTTCATCTCATATCTCTGCTTACATTAAACCTCTTCCCCTAATTTATATAATAATAATACAGAACAGTACATTGCTTATGTTTGCCATAGTTATGTTTTTTTTTAGTTTTTATTCGTCGTCGTCTTTTTCTTCTTCGTCTTTTTCTTCCTCTTTTTCTTCTTCTTTTTCTTTTTCTTCTTCTTCTTCTTCTTCTTCTTCTTCTTCTTCCTCTTCTTCTTCTTCTTCTTCTTCTTCTTCTTTTTCTTCTTCTTCTTCTTCTTCTTCTTCTTACACTTGCTGTTGGGAAGGGGTGTTCAACTGGTGACCCGCGAGCCCACAAAGGCCTTTCAAGTGGCCCGCAGATCTTTGCCGTTTGTACTGTAATAGTTATCTGTTCACGCTGGGGCTCGGCCTCTGACGATGACCATTTTCTGAATGCTGACCCTAGAGAAAAACTAAGCCAAATAGCCCTGCTTTGAGGTGTTTGATGGCGGCGTCTGTGCACTAGGTGTTGCGAGCCCGATACGTAACTCCAACTTACCGCGATCGAAACCCACTGCTGGCTGCGTGGATTTTTATCCTGATACGGGATGTCGCAGGTCGTCCCCGCCTAAAATGGGTACCAGTAAAGACGGCCGGCATAATGCTGACCACATTATCCACCTAGTGCTGATTGGTCTGTAAAAAATATGGGTGCTCTTAAAATATGCCCGATGCGTCTAAAGGCATGCAAAGGAATCTTTAAGTTGTTAGATAAGTCCCTCCATGCTTACACTGCTTCACGCTGACATTACGAACTACACAGCTGTGGAAATTCGTTTGTTTAAAAACTGTGACTGGGAAGGGACTTATGTAATACAGGCTGCTTGTTTGCATTATTTAATTGAGTATTCCTTTTTTTTTTTTTTTTTGCACAGAGTGGAGCCAAGATCAATATTTCTGACGGTTCGTGTCCAGAAAGAATAGTCACCGTTACAGGGACAACTGACAACATCTACCGAGCCTTCGGCTTCATCTGTAAAAAATTTGAAGAGGTTAGTGCTCGATCATTATCTTCGCCAATATATATATATATATATTACAATAGGATGTGAATATCCGCTGTGTGTAAACATAAGGATCACGTCATTAATTTTATACTTCTGTTGGATCACCTGATTGATCCTGGATTTACATTGGTAAGATATAGAGCGTAAGAAGGGAAACTACATAGTTTTACGTATTTCATTTTAAAGGGTTGATGTTTTGTGATTCATTATACGGGTTTTTTTTTTTTTTTGTTGGCAAACGCTTTAGTAATGGACCTAACAAAATACAGCGAAATATGCTAGCTAACGAGATTTGCATGCATTTTTTAAAATCCTAATTTAAAATTCCTATCCTCTTCAGGTTTGTCAGTATCGTTTCAGAATGTTATCGAAATCATTACTAGTCTTTTTTCGATTTATCGATATTATTGTTCATTGACTATGGGAATGTAAACTGCATGGTGTAACCACACAACCGCCAGTAAAAGATGCGGTTTCTTGTTGTCCTGAAGTGCTTATGTAACGCTTGCTGCTTCTAAGATACTGATACTGAAAAATAAAAGCATGGACAGATCTTTCAACTTAGAAACACAGAGATTTAAAGAGAGCCCAAGTGACAGCTATGGAATGATTAGGCAGCTCCAAGACTAGCCTGCGGTCTCGATCATAGGAACTGGAACCTCAGGGTTCAGGAACTAAGCCCCCCCCCCCCCCTTTTTTTTTTTTTTTTTTTAATTTGCTTATTTTGTTTAAAGGGATTGGGGGGAGGGGGGGAGGGGGGGGGGAAGGCCTCCGATAATTCTTAGGGAATATGAGTCGCGATCCCTAGAGACTGCAAGCGGGCTCATTGGTTCCCCCTAACTATGTATATACTTTGGGGAGTTGAGTGGTCTCGAGATAAGGCGTCCACCTCGAGTGCTGGAGGTCCCGTGTTCAAGCCCTGGTGAAGGCTGGGGTGTTTTCACGTGGACTTCTAGTAATTACCTCTGGTCTCTGGGTAATAAGATCGGACGACGCCCGTGTGTATTCTTGCGCACGGAAAAAAATTCGGAAATCGAAAAGTAGCCTGATGGCGCTGCATGGGCTAAATTTGGTGTTTAAAATTTACCAAAGTATTTCAGGATCCTCGCCGATGGAACGGAGTTCGTGCACTGCGCTGAGATTCTTCCAACTCAGGCTTGAGATAGAAGTAGAACAGAACACTTATGGGTTACACCTGTTTGCCATGATGTTGATCCGTTTGGATAAACATAAAAACATAAATATGTATAAATCTTCTTTTGTTAAGTATTTTGTTTATCCATTTCACATTAATTAAACATTTATTTGCCACTGGGCACATAACAGTAACTACTGCTGTAAGTTTCATTATTACTACGCACTCCAGTTAGGCTTAGAACTTGTGTTGTTTTCATGACACAGGACCTGCAGAACACACCAACGACCCCGAAGCCGCCCGTAACGCTAAGGCTTGTGGTGCCGGCCAGCCAGTGCGGCTCATTGATAGGCAAGCAAGGATGTAAGATCAAGGAGATCCGGGAGGTGAGATTCTCTATCACATTATTATTATTTTATTATTATACTGTTTAAAAAGACATAGTTATCCAAAAGCACTTTTTAAAATTAGGTGACAGGAAAGCCTGTACGCCTAAAAACTATTGATGACCCAGATGCAAAAGAACTGTCACTTGATTGTTTTAATCTGAAGGTTTTCGTGCGTGAAAATCGAACAGCTTCACTCAATAAATTACGAAGTTTTTGAATGTCAAAATTATGACAAAATTATGTCGACTGTGGCTTGGGCCTTGAAAACGCAGTTGGTACTTCCGAGGTACCCGGTTCGCTTCCAGCTGCTGTACTGCTGGTGAATTGGCAGCAGACCGCTTTGCGATGCTTTCAAAAATGGTATCGCCAACGATTTTGCAGTAGCAATGACAAACGTTCAAAGTTAGTTGCGTATCCTTTACAAGATATTGCAGAACCAACTCCCAACATTTGTTGCCCAAATTTATCAAGCATGCACACATGACCAATTGTGTCTTCTGCTTGCGCCATCCAAGACTTTCCTCTTTACAGTCTGTGACCCTTATTGGAAAATGACACCCTGAAGACCATAAATGCTTGGAAGTATTCTGATTGAGTGAATCTGTGTGTTCTTAGTCATTTCCTACTGTCCAATCTAATTTATGGTTATGTTTTACATTAGTTTTGTTGAGGTCTCAGTAACATAAATATTTGCTTAATTTTATTGACCTTTTAGCCCAGTGATTCCCAACCTTTCAAATGCCGCCACCTTTTAATACAGTTCCTCATACTGTGGCGACTCCCAACCATATAATTATGTTGGTTGCTAATTTATAACTGCTTTGTGATGGTCTTCGGTGACCCC